CAAACCCCTGATCATTTTAGTTGCCCTCCCCTCTCCCACCCTCTGTCTTCCCCTATCCCACCTCCTTTTCCCAGTCTCCCCGAGTTTTGTTCAATAAAGAGAGTTTCTATTTTTGAACACACGTGTTCTTATTTTGTACATCAGGAAGAGGGGCTAGGGAAGGGTAAGTGGAAGGAGGTGAGGGAGGAATGGGGTACAAGCCCCTGATGGGGAGGACTGGGCTGGCTCTGCGGGCTCCTCGGGATGGAAGCTCTCCTGAAGCCCCTTGATTGACCCCCCCTCTGGATGGCAGCCTGTGGCAAGTGCAGCCGGTCTGATGGCCGAGTGCTGTGATGTGCCGAGTGTGGGCACTCAGGGCACTCCAAGCCAGGACTGCTTTGCAAGCGGGGAACCCCTGAGAACTGTCTGTCCGGGGTGGGGGGTCGGGTCCCTTTAAGCACAGCCCTCGGCTAGCCTGAGACAGCAGCTCCACGCTCTAAATCCTAATCTGATGCCCTGCCGGCACTGCTTCCGGCCATCCTTAACCTCAGTTCAGGGTCCACTCAATGTGGACATGCTAGTACGAATTAGTGCTAAAAATGCTAATTCGAACTAATTTTTAAGTCTAGATGCGCTAATTCGAATTAGTTCAGTTTGAATTAATTAATTCAAACTAAGTTAGTTCGCATTAGTGCTGTAGTGTAGACGTACCCTCAGAGCATTGATCCAGGCTGTAGTTTTGACATAGGCTTAGAGGATAGTAATGTCGCCAACATTCTTAGTCTGTTGTTGAAAAAACACCTCTCCAACACTTCTCATAATGCTGAAAGGTTTGGCCACAAGATCACCACATGGGGTCAGTCTCTGTCTCCAGGAAACCTGTCACCATGGAGATCCTGCCTTATGCTGTTTTCTTACTTAGCCTTTCTTAGAGGTTCTTGGTCCATCCTACTGCCACTGCAAGACAATGCAAGGCTGAAACTAGCACATATTTGGGTCCCTGCAGTGCCATGCGGTTACAGATACATTGACTGCACTGTAATCATATTGCTCTAAATTTTTTGATATACTGTAGTAGCTTTATTTAGGTGAAGAGCTCGTGGTTCTGTATATTTTGGTTAGTCTCTAAGATGCCACAGGACCATTCATGGTATTTAAAGTTACAGACTAACATGGCTACCCCTCTGAGATATTTTAGGAGACAATTCTTCCCCAAACTCACTAGTGCACAGTGGGAATGAACACTCAGCACTATCTCTTTGGTGTAGCCTGCTTCCTCTGGCACAACAGGCTGGTTCCGAGAGCTGGTGTTCAGGGAGTTCAGAGACTCCACCAACTTTCCTGCCTCTAATCCAGGAGGAGACACCCCAGTGCTCCTCTGAAAGTAAGGACTGGGCTTAGCTGACTTTTAATCAGGGCTGCAAGGCTTATGGTGGTTTTGTCAGCTATGGTGTCAGAACCAGGCCAATCTAAAAAAATCTGTGGAAAACTTTGGCTGACAGTCAGATTCTGGCTGACAGTAAGATATTCTCATTTACATGAGATTTTTCTTTTAATGTCTGAATACAACAATGCTTTTTCTGTTTGTTTCATTTTAAAGTTTGCTGAGATGTTTGTATTTGCTAACACCATTGAGGTTTCTACGTACATTTTTAAAGGCATCAATGTTTGTATTCATCCTATTAAAACACTAAATATTTAACAAAACAAAATCATGAGTTACTTTGTGCTGCTTTACCTTTATATTTAACGGAGAAAATGTCCTTGAGAAATTGCCGGAAATAAATAATATGAATTTGATATTAATTTAGAAAATAATGTGCAAGATATAATTTGTATTATATAAACTATGTAGTGAAATTGTACTGTACCATATACCCTCATCTCACTAAAAATACAGCAGTCTAAACACACCATTTCTTTTTATAGGGTTGGAGTTAGCACTGCGGAATATTAGACACAAAACACAATTATCAGCATCTTCAAAGAGCCAGCATAATCCTAGAGAAAATAATGGGATTTACGTTTTGCTTGTATCTTTACTCTACACTGTTCAGGCAGCTTTCAAGCTTGTGTTCCAAAAAGCCAGTCAAGACACACAGTGTTGGATTTATCACAGAAAAATATATCTGAACTTCACTTTTCAGATTTCAGTTCTCTGCCTGAACTGCAAGTATTAAATCTGTCTCATAATCTACTCAGAGATCTTGACTTCAGCGTTTTCAAATTCAGTAAGAAATTAGTATGCCTAGATTTATCTCATAACAACTTGTGGATTATTTTCTGTCTGACTCTTGCTGGTCTTAGACATTTAGATCTTTCATTCAATAAGTTTAAAACCTTGCCCAACTGCCAGGAATTTGTCAGTATGTTGAACCTAGAATACCTGGGACTGAGTGCCACAATGATACAAAAGTCAGACTTCAAAGATATTACACATTTGCAACTTCGTACTGTCTCCATAACCTTAGTAGATCTTTTTCACTATGAATCCAAGAGTCTGACAGTCTTAAACACAAAGAACCTTCAGACTGTTTACCCAACAAACCAAAATTTTACATTTTCCCTTTTGTATGATGGGATTAGCACTTCAGGGGAGTTAGAATTGTCAAATATTAGATATAACTCTACAGATTTTCCTTTGCCCTCTTTTGACACTTTGCAGAAATTCAAGACAATCAATAGTGATAGAAATGTAGCCGTGTTAGTCTGGTGTAGCTGAAGCAAAATGCAGGACAATGTAGCACTTTAAAGACTAACAAGATGGTTTATTAGATGATGAGCTTTCGTGGGCCAGACCCACTTCCTCAGATCAAAAAAAAAAAAAAAAAAGACAATCAATATGAGGTTTAACAATGTGGATTTGTCCTGGAGTACAATTTTGCAAATTTCTGTGATTGTTTGGTGCATACCCATAGAGTATTTCACTGTGAAAAATTTGACCTTTTGGGGATCTATTCAGACCCATATTGACTTTTCTTTCTTATTAAGTGATTGGGCACAATTTCTCTATTTAGGTAGTTCAATGAAAGCACTTACACTAAAGTACATTCGCTCTAAGAATTTTTTCTTTCTCTCAAGAGATACTGTACAGAACATTTTCAGAGCTAAGCATTTTCAGAGCCACCTTGACCTCCGGGGCGAGAAAAGCTGCTCCCGGTGCCCCTGGTCTGCTGGGGACCATCTCCAGCAGACCAGGGGCATCGGGAGCAAAGCAGCAGCCCCGGCGGGTTTGCTCGCAGTGCCCCTGGTCTGCTGGAGACGGTCCCCAGCAGACCAGGGGCACCGGGAGCAGCTTTTCTCGCCCCGGAGGGCAAGGTGGCTGAA